GTGTGTGTGTGTGTGTGTGTGCGTATGCCGACTCTTTCCGTTTCACCTTTCTACAAGTGTGTACAGAAAGAAACTGACGAATGAGAGGAATAACGACAATTTTGTTACACCAGTGATATTTGTGTATGTGTGTGGATGTGTGTGTATGTGTGGATGTTTGTGTGTGTGTGTGTGTGTGTGTGTGTGTGTGTGTGTGCCGACTATTTCTGTTTCATCTTTCAGCAAATGTGTACCGAAAAGAACTGACTGGTGAGAGAAAAGCTTGAAATTCGTCAATCTTGCTGCCTTTTTCACTCACAACGGTATTTTGATTTTGCAAAAGTTAAAAAAAAAGATTAATTGCTTTAATTTTTAAGGCAAATTTTGGTTCTAATTCAAGAATTATACAAAAAATAAAAAAAAATCAAAAAACGAAAAACTGAAAAAAAAAATAAAAACACGAAAAACTTACCGATAGTGCCAAATTTAGAGGCTCAGCAACAACTCGTTTTCCTGACTCATCTATGCGGAATGCTTCAATTTTCATGAGTGCTTCAGCAATATCCTGAAATTCTTTTCAAAACAAATGAAGGGAGCAATAGAATTTTCCAAACTGGGTTGCCTGGAAAGCATTAATAATGATGACCAGTATTCACGTGAAGAAAAGCATAACCCATACTTATGGGCTGATAAAAAGTCTACTTAGTTCAGAAAGTTCAGTAAATTGAGGTCTGAAGTTCAAGAAACTCGATAATCGATGAAATTTGAGACAGGAAGGTACATCAACAACGGATGAAAGAAGAGGAAGAATAAAACAAGGTAGGAGATGAGAATTACAAAATCTGTAAATTACTAGAATTATTTCAAAGGTAAAAAATGTTTCGGTCCATTAAGTCGTATACATTTCTTACCGTTACCACAATTGGATCATGTGAGTACGACGACTGCTGGTAATTAAAGTTAGAAGATATAAAGATTAAATTGTATAATGAATGTTAATAGTAAGAAAGCTCATCAAAATCTGATGCAACTTCGACTCAATTTAGCTGTTTTTTTATGCAAATTTGTTATTTCCCGGGGAAAACGTAATCAAATTGGTTTGAATATTCCTCTACTCCATTCCTTAGTGTATTTCGAATGTTTCAAAGCTGTTGCATTTCTTTTTTTTTTAAATTTTCACTTTTCTATGAAAATCCCACATTAGTGGCATTTGTTCCAATAAAGAATGAAGCACAATGCCCGTGAGATTTGTACCTCTGGCAAATACGTGGCGAACATTTCTTGCCAATTTTCGTCTTTTCTGGTTCCATCGGTTTCTCCCGAAGATGGCGCTACACCGTTTCCAGCGGATTCCATGAAGCCGTAGATTCAAGGCAATTTTCTCAAGCTAAAGAGAATGACGAACTTTTCTTCAAATTCTCTTTCACGCGCATTAAAATTAATCAATTTTACAAGAACGAAGCGCTGCCATATTTCCCCGGCTTCACAAGTCCTATAATCATACCAATGCACGCACTATACGCGTACACATACACACATACACGTACACTCCCACACAAACACACGTACACTCATATACACACACACGTACACTCACATACAGACACGCATAAACAAATATATATATATATATGTGTGTAAATAACAGATATACACACACAAACATATGCATATGTACATATAAACAACAGACATACACACAGACACGAATAAACAGACATATACATACATATATACCTATATACATACATACATACATACATACATACATACATACATGCATACATACATATAAGCAACAGACACACACCCAGTCACGCACAAACGCAGATAGATATATAAATATAAACAACAGACATACACAGAGACACATGCATACATGTACATGCATATAAACAACAGACATACACGTACAAACACGAATAAACACAGATACATACATAAATATAAACAACAGACATACACACACAGACACGAATAAACACAGACACATACATATAAAACAACAGACATGCACACCCAAATATGCACAAACATAGACACATACATATATACACATAAACAACAGACATACACATACAGACACGCACACACACATGCATACATATACTGTACAGACAACACACACACAGTACACACACATATGCAAATGAAAAAGAATCATGCTGTTGTTGTTTATCGGTTTTGTTATTATCCAACAAAACCATCAAAATTTGCGCCTTTTTTTTTCACAGCGCCAGTTCTAGTAACGCCACTCGCTTGGGGGCGCCTGCTTCAACATCTCCCAGCCAAATCTCAGTCAAAGCTGGGCACAAAGCCACCTCAACTATGGCCAGGGGGCACGGGCAACCAAATCCAGCGAGCAGTACCGAGTGAGTTGCTAAACAGCCAAATGTACTAAAATGTCTGTTCCTCCGCCCCATCTCAATACTTTTTGCTATGGGACAAGAAAATATGCAAATTTTTGCAAGTACGTGAAATTTTCCAGTACGTGTAAGCACATGGAACGAGCAGTTCCACGTGCTTCGCAAAATCTGCATATTGTAAAATCTTCTGCTGTAAAAACCAATGCGAAGGTAGAAACGATGGAGGATGGCTGGGTGCTGCTGGATGGGTTCTCTGTCACAAGAAATAATTGGCCAACGAACAGGCTACCCGTGCGAAAATGCGTTTTTATGCTTTTTTTTTGCAGCTATGCAATGCGGAAAACGCATATTGACGAGAGGTTGTCTGTCTGTGTGTGCGTGTGTGTTGTATGTGTGTGTGTGTGTCTGTGTCTGTGCGTGCGTGCGCGTGCGTGCGTCCGGCAAATGCTTCTAGCTAAAAGAATTCCAGACTGGCCAGCCGCCAGGACTGTCAGGAAGCATCCGTTTAAAATTTCAGTTTTCTTTTAGCTTTCCTAATTCCCAAGTTAGTAACTTACCCGCAAAAAACTTTCACGGGCTCGTACATACCCCATGCCTGGGTTTGAGCTCGTTAAGACTTAAGTGGACGGAGAACATCCTCTTAAAATTCCAGTCTTCTAGCTTCTCAGATTCTTGAGTTAGCCGCTTACCTGAAAAAAGTTTTGACGGGTCCGTACGTGGGTACCATGCACTTGCTAAAGCTTGTTAAGGTCTACGTGGATGGACTTTTTAAGACCTACGTGGACGAGGAACGTCCCCTTAAAATTTCAGCTTTCCAGCTTCCCTGGTTTCCGAGTTAGCAGCTTGCCCGTAAGAGATTTTGGCGAACTCGTATGTGGGTACCACGCGGGTAAGAGCGCCCATTTTGATGATGGGAGTCCAAACATGCATGTAGATTAAGTTTCCAAAATTTCAGCTTCCTAGCTCCAGCACCTGAAAGTTGGGCATACACAGGATCAACGGCAAGGCGGAGGTGAATGAGGTGGGTGCTATAGGTTACCGGGGTTGTAACGGGATAGGAGACGGGGCTATTGATTGCAACGGAGCTGAGACACAGTTTTAAGGTAGGAACTGGAAGTAGGGACGGGGTTTATGGTGGAAGGTGCCCCTAACAGTGGCTGAAATTTTGTCAGCATGTTGATCGCCCATATGGGAAATCGTGTACCTAAAATAAGTATTGATTTGCACTTGTGCCGCGACCTAGGGCAGTTCAAAGATATTTGTAGCGAAGTGGCTATTTCGCTTACCGGATAAGTGAATTTTTCATGCTCAACCCGGGCTTTGATGCTGAGGAAATGCTAGTGGTCCTGCTCTCAACACGTAGAAATTTTACTCTGGAAAAAAAGCCCAACACCACGACTCCCGCGACTCGAACCCGAGCCCAGAAATGAGTGCACAATGCGCGGCCGAACCGAGTTGAGCAGAGTTTTTCCTAAATTTGACGACTACAAAAACTCGGCTCGGCTCGCTAGAACTGGGCAGAGCTACTCAGCACGTCTGGCAAAGTTCCAGCGAGCGGCGCCGCGAAATAGTGTTGGCAGAGATGCTAGAGCAAAACGCTGGAAAATCCAAACACCACAGATCTTCAGCCGAGCCGAACCGAGTTTTTGTAGTTGCCCGAATTTTTTGGTCCGAAGGTGAATGCGTATTTTCACGGCTGAGAAGAGTTGGGCGGGGTTTTTCTCGTACTTTTTAGCCGGGAAACGGATGCGTATTGCGGGGACGAGCCGACTTTGGTAGGTTTTTTCGAAATTTTTGGTCCAAGAACGAGTCCATATTTGCACGGCCGAGCCGAGTTCAGCGGGGTTTTTTTCGCAGTTTTTGATAATAACTCGTTTTTTTCTTCAACTTTTTCTGAGTCTGGGCTGTGATTTGACAATGTTGTTGATTTTGAGCCGAGGTTGGTTCAGGCCGAGCTGGATTTTAACTGGATCTCGGCTTAATTAAAATGCATTTGGGCTGTTTTTTTTTTGCTTTGTTACTAACTGTTTGGGGTTAAAGAGAAAATATTAGCAAAAGACGTTGAAAAGATTGTAAGGAATTATTAAAGTAGACGAGAAATGTTTCGGTCCATTAAGTCGCATATATTGCTTGCCATTGCCACAGTTGGACCTCGCCAGTACGACGATTGTGACAAAAGAATTTTGAATGGTAATTAAGTAAGATGGGGGATTAAATAAAACAAAACAAAAGGCAGTACGGGCCTAAAAGGCGCTGTGAAGAAGGGGGCCGGAACAGCGGCCTAATCAGCGAGGGGTATTAGACGGCACGGACCGCGCCAATGTGCATGCACTAGAAAAATGCAGGGTCGGGACGGTAGTCGCCCAAGGTCCGTGGTGATAATGAAAGGGGAGGGGGGGGGGGAAATAAAAAGATCAGATTGTTGTGGCGCATATTTTTTTAAAAAAAATCA